CCTGCAGCGCCGACGGCCCCGGGCTGCAGAGCAGATTTCATAAACCAAGCAGCAGAGCAACCTCCTCCAGCACCGGCTGCGCCGCAGCCACGCTCACGCCTGCCATTACAGCGCTCTGAACGCAAGTCGGTAGAGAAAAGGTTGTACGCTGTGAGCACAAAGCTGTGTATATGCTATATCCGTATAGAACATAGATCTATTTATAGCTCCATACATACATACCGCCTATAACCCTACGCACAGGCAAGGCAAGCTGCTCGCTCCAACGACCGCTCCCGTCACTGCCAACACTGCAGCGAGGGACGGGACGTTGCCTGGACATGGATTAACTATGCAAGCACTGAATAAAATCTCTATTTTTCACTTTTAAAGCCATCCCGGCTCGTCCTGAGCATCCTTTCCTCATGGAGGCACCCAGCAGCTCCTCGCCCAGCGCCTGCGTGGGTGGGGGGCGAGTCCACCCCCAGCCCAGCCCCGAAGCTGCGGGTTCATCGCTGTGGCTGGCGATGGCCGCACTAACGCCGCGCTGAGCACCCAGGGCATGGGCTAAACCTGCATCGGCCCCCCCGGGCAGCGCGGCCCCAGCGGCCAACGCAGGCACCACCCATTCCCGGTGCCGTCCCCACATAGCGGGGATGGCACGGCGCTGCGACCGTGCACAAAGAACGGGCGAGGGAACCCGTGCAGGGAACAACGCGGGGAGATTGCGCACGCCCGGGCTCCCGGGGCCGCCCGCGGGCAGCTGCCAGCGCAGCCCGAGCACAGGAATCCCAACCTGGGAGCGAGGGAAAAGGGGCGGCCGAGCGCAGGGACGCAGGAGGAGGGTGAGGATTTGTCTCAAGCCCGGAGCAGGGGCCGAGGCACCGCCGAAGAGCAGCGCTTCCCACGCCAGGGCAGAGCCCTCCCGCCCTCTCCCCACAAACGCCGTGGGAGCCTCCCTGCCCCTGTTAAACAAAAACCAGAAAAAACACTACAGAACTGGTGCTCTCTGGCTGCAGCCAAGGGTTCCCACACCCGGGCCAAGCACCACCTGGCCCAACGGGGGGCTGGGACAAGGGGACCCCAGTGGGTGAGCTCGGACCCAGCCAGCCCCAGTCACCCCGGCACTGCCGGCGGCTGCTGGGG